GGTGCAGGATTCACTGAAGATGATGGCTGGTCTGATCCTCGAACAGTGCCTCAGGTGGCTGATGCAGAGATGAGGAATCATGCATTCAGATGATGAGGAATAGCAAGATGAGAATACACAGGTCTCTGGGTTGCTGGTGTAGTAGTGAATTGGTCCCAGTGGGACTAATAATCTACAAGTGACTTGGAAAGAGGAAGCTTTACTGAAAAGGCTGAGGGGCAGCCCAAGGATGTCACTGGTGCCTGGAGTAAATCTGGGTAGCTGCATGCTATGGTGGGCAGGAGAGGGCACTCCAGGCTGTCCCTTACCTCAACTCAGCTGCAAAATTTTGGTGAGAATTGGGCTGGTTCTCCTGATTACAGGTGTGCTCTGTTTCTGTACCCTGACATTGTGTCCCTGCTGGAGTATAGGAGCTGTAACAGCCTGGGGGGAAAAGAAGAAGGGGGAAGAAAGGCAACTAGTTCTGACTCCCAGTATTGCTAGTAAAAATAAGAGACAACGTTTTACTATAAAATGAGAAACATGTTCTTATTAGGCTAGCCACACAAATTGTTATCCAGCATACGTATGAATTTTTGTAACACTTGTGTATAGGTTCCCTTTTTCTTGGGGGAAATCCTCCTTCTGAAGACAATATTCTTAATACCAATGTAAAAATAATATTGGCTTAATATTAACTTTTTACTGCATCTCAGAACATGATGATATGTAGGGAAGTAGAATGGAAAAGAAGGTTGTGGAAGAGTGATGTTTTCTCATCCTGTTATTGGAGCTCTGATGCGTGTTCTGAGAGTATCAATCTAGCTCTTGCATGCTGTAACTAATAGGGCTTCTCTTATGGCTCAGAGTGACTGAGGAGAGTTGTATGTTATGCTATGACTGTTGCTTTTCCTATAAAAGTTATCAGCTTTACAAAGCCCTTGTGTTTTATTATATACAAAAATTCCCAGACTATGATATGCAGTGTCAAAAGTTTTGTTGACAAAAAATTTCCTATGGTTCTTGAGGTATTTCGGCATGGCTGTGGTTTGTGTCTAGTTGGAAATTTGCGTGTGGTATCAGATACGTATTTTATAGATGCTTTATTTTTAATTTATTGAAAAGTAAATATTGACATGTAAAATATCAAAATCTTCTGTTCTCAAACTTTACCTTAAAAGACTTGCCACTTGATATATACTGTTATAGTGCATCATCTCAGGTTATTTCAGACTTGTCTGATGTGACATGTAATGTGACAACAGACCTGAATTTGACATAATGCAGCATGACTGATCAGGTACCAGAACGTGAAAGAGTTTTCCTGGCTGCAGTTAGCACTGAAATACCTATTTTTATAGAAAAAGCTTCCTTTCTTCCGTCTCCCCAGTCACAGTAGCTAATACACATTTGCTTTATTTTTGTTGTATTTTTTTATCTGGGTTTCATTATATCATTGATTATCCTTCTGTATGGCGATAACTTTATGTTAATCTGTTTTTAGAGTAAGTGTGTTATTTCTGGTTTTGCACTATTTTCTGTCTGCCGCCTTTATCAGAAAATTAACAACTGGAAACTTTGCTTTTACATTTAAAAAAAACAAAACCTTTCTGCGGAGAGAGGAAATGCTTTATTGCCCAACTTGAAGTAACTTGTAAGGACGTATGTAAATATTAATGTTTTTAATAGACTATTTATTTCTAAAGAGAATCATAAGAGATAATGGGTAAAATTCTGAACTCTTTGAAATCAGTGATGAGCTCTTAAATTTGAAAATATATTTTTCTGATGCATAAACTAAAAGAAAATACCTAACATATTTCCATTACTGTTCACCTCAAATCTGAGACAATTAGGATGAATGATTATTAAGTAGTAGAAAGGAAGAGACAGAAGAAAACTAAGATATTGCTACTCTTAATGATACTGTCATTTTAAGACAACATTTAGAAGTAGCTTCTAAGTCTGCACAAAAAGAATGACTGAGCAGCAGATCGGGTTTCTTCTGTTCTTGATTCTTGCTCTTTCTGCACAGGAATCCTCTGCTATATGCAGACTGGGCTCGAGTCCCTTCCAAATCCATTTACTCTATGGATGAACTACTTTGGTAGCATCTCCTTTGGTTTATGAACAGTATATATGGTCCTAAAAGAGCTAGTCAGGCTCATGTCTTTTTAAAAACAGGTATTTTAGAGGATCTTCTAGGTAGCTTGGCCTCAGCCAGTAGGCCTATCTTCATAGGAAGGACAGAGATGAAGTTAGATGTCGGTGAATTGATAGGGAGCGCGAAAGATTTGTAGGTGGTGAAGAAAGCACAGGTCTTTCAAGAGAAAATTTAGCAAAGTAAGCTTTAGAATCTTAAAATCGCTAAACTAAAACCTTATGAAACTTAAAGAAACTTAGAAGATTTCACTTTTTATGATATATTTTTATGATCCTTAAGAACCAAGGCATGCTTGGAACAAAACTAGGTCGTCCTGTAGGTAAAAACAGACAAGATAGGGCAAAGGTTTATTGCAGTTTGTATTCCTGTCTACACAAGTAGGACAAATGTATCTAAATTTTAGCATACAGAAGAAAGCCTAGCAAGTAAATCTGCTCATCCGGATAAATCTTGTCTTGTTTAGGGCATTATAATCCAATAGCTAGTCTGTAAGTTGAATGAAACAGTATATGTTTAAAGGAGGTGGAAGCCCTTGTGGCAGCTCTTCTGTGAATGAATAATTAATTTTAAAATAAAATTGAATGGCTTTATAAATATATTAAAAAGTTCAAATATTACTTTTAATGTGAGGAAGGAGGACTCCAGTGTATCATCTTTGTTCTGTTAATAGCTGATATCTTTTCAGTGGTTTACATAAATTTGAATCTTTGTGGAAGATAGCCTGAGAGAAGAACGTAAGAGAATTTCTTACATATGAAAGTATGTAAGAAATAGTTGTATGTTTGTGCTTAACTGTGAGAATAATTTTTCCTGTTCATACACTATGCTTGTTGTTTTTGAAGATTGATCCTGTTCTAATGAAATGGGTGGAAATTCTGTCCTTGAAAAATGATCGGGTTGTTAGGTTTAATTTGATTTGCTCTTAAATCTGATGAGTATCTGCATGATACTTTTGACATGGTTTCACAAGCTATTCTGGTCTGAATCAAATGATAAATAAAAAGCAGCTTTTTTGGGGCGTGCAAGTACTGTTACTTGTGCTAGAGAGTTTTCAGGATTGTCCATAGTGAAGCCTAAGAGGTGTTTCAGCAGAATTGGTCCTTTTGCAAACATGATGTAGAATACAGGCCTTGTCTTGCAGAGTTTACAATCTAAAACATATTTTTCCTCTGTTAAAGTTCTTCTATTTGGAGATTAACTGTATCCAGATATTTGTATCTTCCTCCTCTGAATGAGGTAGCATCCATGCATGGCTTTATTAGATGTAGCATTGGACTCTTATTACGTGCACAAAGAGAGGCTGTTTGTACTGAGGTGTTTAAAACAGTGCTGATTGTAAGGTTATTCATAAGCATAAAAGCAAAATCTCGTTTGGTTTTTGAGTTCAGTTTCATTTTCAGCATGCCCATTTTCAGCAAGCAGGTCAGAAGACTGACCTTTCTGACACTAAGTACTTAAACGGTTTCTTTGAAAGCTTTTTCAAAAGCCTTCAGTTACTCCTGGAGAGAACAGTGCTGGTGTGCTTACCTATGTTCGTGTGTCACTGCAGTTTATGGCTGCCCTATGTTTTAATCTCAGAGTTACTTATAATACATAAAAATGAAACCTATCTAATAAATATCTCAAACCTTATTGGTAACAGCTGAACTGGTAATTTCATGTGCCTGAGAGCATCTGAGGTCCTTCCTTTGGGTATTGTAGACTGTGGCATTCTTACCCTCTGGATTTTTCTTTTCCTTTTTTGCTTCTTACGCATCCTTGCATCTCTTTAGCAAGGAAAACACTAGAAATTTATGGAATCCTAAACATTCCAGTATAAATAATTTATTTTAAAAATATTAATCTATACTGAATCTACTTTGTCTTCCATATTCTATCTTACCTACCGTTAAATTATGCTCCTAGTCTTTCACTATTCCTGTTTTTGACCGTGTTAAGCTAGTTGATTTTTTTTTTTTTATAGTTTGAGGATGTTATTGAATTAAAAAGAAAATAAAGCAGTAATAAACACCTTCCCCGACCTTGGAAATGGGGAAAATGTCAGAAGAGTTGAATGGATTACTTAATAATGTTTAAATAAACCTGCAACCAATCACCAGTGCAACAAAATGATGAATGGACCTTCTTTAAGTTACACTGCTGCTTTTAAAAGGGATCAGCAGGGAGGATGAAAAGAGAGAGACGTGTACAGCAACGGACCAATGCTTTGTAGATAAATTAGATCTGTGGAGATACCTTGGCCACTAGTGTGTATTTTAGCAGTATAAATAGTAGTCTTCTATTTTATTGGTTAAACTACTGTTGTGCAGTGACAGCTGTGGGCGTTGGGAAACTCATTTAAGAAACACTAGCCAAAACCCAGTAAATATTCTCTAATTGCTTTTGAAATTGCTCTTGTTATCCACTATATTGCTGCATAATTGTAGCTTAACTGTCCCAAGTTTGCTGCTCACATTTTCTAATGTGTTGTTTCTCAAACTGTGTGACATGCTCTTCCTGGTAAACCTGTGTAAAAAATGCTTGAGAATGAAAAAGTGAATTATTTGGGTCCATAAAATGATCTTTGTTACTTGAAGAAAAATAAAAAGCAGAGGATTTTTGTTTTGATGCGTAGTAACTGTTTCCTAGATATTGTGACACCTAAGAAACCATTTACAGGACGTATTTTAAGGATCAGGACTGCATAACATCAGAATTTAGATTTCCTTTCAAGGCTTTTGGCAGAGACTCTATTTCTGGTTCACCTCAGTGAACAACTCTGTTCACTTCAGTTTTTCATAGATTGGAATTTCCTGCTAAGAATGTTGTATTATGTTCTAGACTTTCTCAGTTTAAAATTGATTTCAAATCTCCTTAGGTCAAACATAAGGCCGGACTATGCAGATACAAGCTTTCATGAGTTCAAAATGCATACCTTTAGTCGTGTGACATCTTGCAAAGTCTGTCAAATGCTTCTGAGGTAAGATTTAAACTTTTTTATCAAGTGAAGTATTTTGAGTCAAATGAGAATGTGGAAATACACAACTGGCTTGTTACTTACCCAAGATAGACAAGCCACATAACTGGTCATATGTAGTATGTCTGGTTGTTAAAAGTAGATTTTTATAATCAAATGTCTAAATATTAGCAGAAGTGCTGTTTAACAGCTCATGTTCTCAAGCTGCAACCCCATTTTTCAGGAGACTGTTTTAGCAGAGTTCTCTTTTCTTTTGAGAATTACTTAATTTAATAGATGGAAGTCATATGTTAGAGTAACAACAACCTTTTCGTACAGTTTTGACCAGCTTGGTTGGTCCTTAGGTCCCTTTGTTGTGACCACCAGTCACAAGAACAGATGGAATATTTTTCCAGAAAGGCAGATGATGAGGATGCTCGTAAATGTTTGATATAAAGAGACTGCTTTCTGAGACAGAAAATAACTGTGAGGCATTAATAGACAGGCATTGCTGAACCAGAGATGTGTAGACAAATTGCCAATAGGTATTATAAAGCTAGGTAAGAGATGCTAGCAGACCACACTGAGAAATTCCATGTTTTCTTTCTCTTCTCTATAAAATAAATGCACATGCACACGCATGCATACCTAGGTTCTGATTCATTCATTTAATGAGCTACTTGTTTCCTTGCACATAAGGACCCTCTAATGGTATAGAACTATGGAATTTATTTCATAGTGTAAACTGGAGATGCAAAAGCTCTGTAAACTTTTGCTAGTTCGGGTGATGATGTTGCATACTGTAGAAAAACGCAACTGCAGCATTTTAAAAGGGAAGTATAGGGAGGGATAAGCACAGGCAGGGCATACAATGACCTGAGGTATATTTCTTCCTCTGTCATGTGTTTTCCCTTTAGCAACCTCTTTTCTGGACGGTTTTATCATCCTGACTTTTCAGAGATTTTTAGATGACGTTTTGCTCAATGTAACAAGGTCTAAGTGACTGAAGAACGGTGCAGACGTCTCTGACTTAGAGAGGGCAGGGCTGTTAATTCCAGAATCTGAAGCCGTATAGTTGAGTCATTATGACTGTGTTGCAGCACTGACTGCCGTTGCTGAGAAACGGCTGTCTTGCTTTCAGGACACAGTCTGCATGATGCCGCAGTGTTCTGCATAGACACGCCAATCTGCTCTCAGGTAGCTTAGGTGTCCCCAGAGCTACCTGGTGACATCTTAGAAATCCAGGGACATTTCTATTTGTATTAAAAGCCTATTGGACTTAGGCTCGTAAAGTGCCGAAATCATTTTTGAAAATGGATTGTCACTTTAAGCTTCAGAGCGCTGAACTTATGTTTATGGTTATGTGCATACTTGAAAAAATGTGAACCTCAATGCCTAATTTTTTTTTTTTAAGTGGGGATAAAATCCCAGTCTTAGAAGCATCTGTAGTGAAGGATAATTCTGTGTGCCATTAATAACTAACTAACTAAATAAAATATTTTATATTTTCTACATAATTCTCTTCACATTTGTGTATTGTGATACTTAAAAGTTAGGTTTCTAAGTTTAATTAAAAAAATCATAACTAACAGTCTAATTGCTGTAATAAGTAGCAGTTGCTCTACCTTTTGTACAGGGTCAACTTACCTAGTCCTCTGTTCCATATAAAACTTGATTTTTCTTAGAAGCAGAAGGTGTCACCTTAGACTAGGATGCATAATCACTTGAGACAGGTCAGGATAATCTTGGAGACAGCTAAGTCTACTGTGAAGAGTAAAAGCAAATGCATCTAATGGCTGGAATTCATATAATTACTCAGAGACTAGGTGCAAGTACAAAAACCTTTCCCTGCTAGCCGTTCAGTGGATTTTACCTAAGAGAAAAGCTATAGACAAATCTGAGAATAAATTTCCTGAGACTGAAATTCAGATTTCAATTCCTTAAGGGGAATCAGATAACATTCAGAGTAAGGAAAGCAACTCCTTTCCTGAGAGCCCTGAATATTAACTAAAGTGTACCCGGATAGCTTTTAAATGAACAAATTTGAAGTCAGTATTATTCACAAAATAGCTTATGAAACCCTTAATGTTTAAATATATATTCATACTTACAGCTCTCTCAGAATGCAGCATATTCTTTGTGTTGCCCAATTCCCATTGAGATGAATTGGAGTGTAGATCTACAGTGGGACAGATACATAATGCTACAATTTCAAGTGTACTCTGCCAAAGTTGCTTTGGACTAAATTCAAATGAGGATAGTTCTTCTGAGCTGCTTACTGGTAGAATAACTATCTGGTGGTGATTTTTAAATGGCTAGTAGTGACAAAAAGCAGATGAACTGCTTGTCAGTTGTTGTCACTGTTTCTCAAGCCTTTAAGGACTTTCATTATGCAGAACAGCAAATGATTTCAAATACCTTCTGCCGTGTCTCTTATTTCCTTTATGCATGGAATTTATCACCTCTAATGTATCACTACCTAATTTTATTTTACAGGGGAACGTTTTATCAAGGCTATTTATGTTCTAAGTGTGGAGCTGGAGCACACAAAGAATGTTTAGGGAGATTAGACAATTGTGGCAGAGCTAATTCAGGTGGTAAGTCATTTTTATTGTTAGAATACCATTTTTAATTAGGACATAAAACTTGCTAGATATAATTAAGGTTTAATTTACCTCTAATTTCTGTTTATTGTAACATACATACTTGTGAAACTACCATTTATAAGCACAATTAGAATTGCATTTAGAATTCACAGGGATTTTTTTTTCATATTAAATTGAAATGTTAGAAAGGAAGAGAGAGTGAGCTACTGTGGGCCAAAGTGGATTTCTTCATCTGTGTCTTGTAGAGCAAGGAATTACTCTGATTTTAATCGTAAACTGCTCATAAGTTACACCTCTTGTACGGTATATCATCTGTCATCCTCGCTGTTCTCTCTTTATGTCAATGTTTGTATTTTCCTCTCAGCTCCTAAAGCTGTTTGTTTCTGTTGCCTCAGCTTCCTCTTTGATCTCTTTGGTTTCCATGGTTTCGTTCCACTGGCAATATTCATCAAAAAGTGATTGATTGGCTCACTACTGGCCATATCTAAGGACCTTTTTCCTCTTCTCTTAATCGATGGCTGTACCCAGGGAGGGGTCCTCTCACTGACGTGTGACTCCATGCTCCCCCATCTCTCCTTCTGCGCCAGGCACCCTGGGGACACTGCAAGCTGGATGTTAATTCTCACCACTTGCCCTCTTTCCTTTCCCTTCCCTCTGCCTATGCAGCTGCCGGCGTACCCTCCAGCCAGCTAGCCACATAACCCTAATGTCACTTTTGCCTCTTCCCTCTATCCAGGCTCCCAACAATTCTTTCTTCTTTCTAGAGATGGTTGAGGGAAGCCAAACAAAAGGCAACCCGCCTCCAATTTCTCCTCCCGCTAAAGCATTTGGGTTCCTTTTGCAAAATGTTTTCGGGGAAAAAAAAAATTAATTGGAACGTGCAATGATTTTTGGAGAATGTGATTGTGTTTTGTGATTTGCTCACTGTATTGTCCTGCTCACGTCTTTAAAAGCGGTACATTTCTTCCCAGGATTACTTCATAATAGTTTGTCTGTGAAGTTTCTCATGTCTCACATATTTCATATAGGCTGCCGTAGCCTCTTGCATTGGGTTATTTTCTTTTTGACATTACTACCTACAATCTTTGTGAAATGCTTTTGCAGAGATAATCTCTCTCCTACTGCTTGAATTTTGTCATGACCTTGTTCACTGCCCTTCACTGAGCTTCACTACTTCAAGATTTCGGTTCTAGCTTTTTTTATTCCTTTCAGAACAGCATGAGCTTGCTTCTGTCTTTGTCCCTGTTTGCATTACTGTCCCACTTCCACTTGGCTTTTGCCTCTGTGTGCTGTTTGCCTGCTTCCTCTTTTGACAAAATCATTTGTAATCAAGACAGCAAGTACTTACTTCTACTGCAGTTAGTGAACTTTATTTTCTCAGTTGCTTTCCTGTACTGGACATCTTATGTGCTATCCTCTAACTTTGGACTTAAATAAGAGTTTTTATTATTTTTTTAATGTAAATTAAAATGTAAATCATTTTACAGCTTCAAAGGTGCTGAATGATCTTTTGAATTTTACTTAAAATTATTGCCTCCCTCCTTTTTTTTAAATGATACTCTATGATTCTTTCCTTGGTGAAGATGGAAGCAATTGTTTTAGATATTGCCTTGCTATGTGTTTAGCTTACATCCAGGTACTCTCTTTTCTGTTCCCTCTGCAAAGATTCCCAGATTTCTGTAGCTCTAGTACAAGGTAAGAGAGTTATATATCTTCCCTCTGCTCATACGGCAGAATGGCAGGCGCTACTTGGTTACGGCTGCCTTACAGGCTGTTCTGAGAATAGAAGATCGCCTCAAAAAGGCATTGGGGAACAAACTTGCAATTCTTTTATTACTCACACAATTACTAAAAGTTCTTACCATGCTCCCCATTGCTCTGTGTATGAGCAGGTGTGGAAAGGACAAATTATTTTGCCCATTTTGTTGAGAATGGATGTCTCTTCTCCAGCAGTGACTGCCGAGAGTGACTGTGGCCAGTGGGTAGGAAGATGAGGTGGTTCTTTACTGTTTTCCATTTCTACTCTTTATTTGTCCTCTTACCTATGGAGAAGAATAAGCTGTGCTGCCCGTTCACGATGTGCACAGGAGGAAGGAAAGATATAAGGAGCTTTGTCAGCTCCTCCTTCCCTTTATGGTCAAGAAAGGATTGGGATAATTCAGCATACATTTAAAATATTGATTCATGGAACTTGAGTATGAATTACTTTGTGGAGCTATATTTTTCACTTTCGCAGGGCTGTGCTGAGAAATTTGGTCTTCCATGCTTCTTTCTGCCAGGGCCTATAAGATGTGTAACATTATTAAAGAAAGCACACATGAAGATAGCATGTAAAATTCAACGTTTTCATTGCGTTTGTGGAAAAAGTATGATTTACATTCACAAAACTTTAACATTTAGGAGTTTTTCCTTTTTAAATCATTAGAGAAATTAACGTCTAAAAATCCTTCATCTTTCTAGTGGTGTCATTTGCTGCTCCTGTGGGAAATTAGCTAAGGTGGCCTGTGAGTGTTGTTAGATATGAAATTGTGTAGTATAGCCTGAATGCTTCAATAGTAGCAAAATGCCTGGAACATTTATTGTATTGTCATGTATTTCTTTTATTTCTAGGGGACTATTACAGTCCTTTTCACAAGGTATAATGGATATGAAACATAATAATCCTTTTAGGAAGCTGAACGTTATTATTCCCCAGCCATGTGGTATTAGTTATGGTCCCAGACATGGAATATACGTATCTTGGGATATAGCTGTGGTCTGCTAAATCTAGTGTTCTGTCATTCTGCCAATGGCTGGTTCCAGATGCCTCCCAGGAAAGTATAAAGCATCCCTCTGGCAGACAATGCCTAGGAATGATGCTACTTTCTAATCCTGTTAGATTTTTAGAGTTGTGGCGTTTGTTGTTGTTGCTTTTGGTTTTTTGGTGCTCTAAGCGTTTTTGCAGTTTTTGCAACAAAGTTTAGCACTTTTGTTGATTAGAACATCTAATTGGTTGTGCTTCCGAATTTTTGGAATAGGCTTTTTTATAGGTTGCACATCTTATCTTGGTTATGTTTAAACTTGCTGCCTTTTTAACATCAGCATGTGACTTTATTCTTTTTATGAGAAGCGTAAATGGAAGTGCTTGACTGACTGCTGCTATGCTGTGTATTACTTTGAAACTTCTGTTTAGTGACCTCTTACTAGTATCCTCTCTGAACTGAAGAGTCTTAAATTTTTTGTCATCTCAAAGTAGAACTGTTTCCATGCCTCAAATTTTCATTGGCATTCTGTAGACCTCCTCTGTCTAGAGGTCTATTTGAAAAGAGGTGATCAGAATTCAAAATACTGCCAAATAAGAATATGCCATTAAGTTTCTTGAAGATATTGATACGGTATTTTCTTTGGTATTTTTTTCTTTTCCCTTTTCAGCACAGTTTAACATTTTGTTTTCTTTTTAGACCACAGAGCAGATGTTTTTGCTAAGCTTTCTGAAATGATGCCTAGAACCTCCCTGAGTGGATTAAGTCCTTTTGTATTTCATCCCAAGTCTCAGTTTGTGGAAAATTCAAAAGGCAGACATCCAAAGACAGCTGAAACCTTTAGAATGATAAATTTAATAAGTGTCAGAGTTAGATGATACACTTATGAGGGAAACATTGACAAAATTTAAACATAAATTGCCCTGTTGTCACACTGTGCCTCATACACGAGCTTATGCCAGTTCTTCAGAAGCTTTGCTTCAAAGAAGGCCAGTTCAACAGACTGTAGAATTTGCAGTGATAAAAGATGCTGCGTTAATCAGTTGAACTACTAAATAGAACGAAATGTACGCATTTATCCCTTGTTTTTCTTGTTACTGTTTGTGTCCATGTTACCCTAAACCTGCAGTGCTAGTTGAAGCCCTCTGTGCTCATTTCTGTCATTACCAATTTAACTTTTTTTCCCTGAAAATACTGCCTTCTTCATGCTCAAGCAGTCCACTGCATTTTCATGCATTTACCTCTTCTGGCCTATCGCTTCATTTCTCTGTGACTTGAAATCCCCATGCCCCGTCTCTTCTGCTCCTGTTCTGACAGACTCCTGGAGTATGATGGTACAGCTTTAAACACAGTATAGGATTTAGCAAATGGGTACACATATTTCTGTTATAGGGCCGTTTGTAAGGACATACATGCTGTTTTTTTCCAGTGGCTGATGTAGAGATCTGCTGTTATCTTGCAACCTCTTGTGGCTTACCAGCTGCACTCCTATGCCTTATTTTGAGGCAAAGTATGCTTTTACCTACCTGGTGATGCTTTTGTGTTAGTTGGAAGGGTTTCTGTTTGGGTGTGGTTAAGAGTGAGACCTTTGGTAAGTGAGCAAGCGTGAGAGACACCTTTAGCAGATTTGGGGAGAAGCTGTCTCCCTCATTATTCCCGTTTTCATTGTATGGGTTGTTCTCTGACCATTGCAATTTCAGCAGAGGTCCTCAGGACTGATAAGACGGGTATCATAACGCTCCCCAGAACATATTGCAGAACTCCCGTAGCTGAGCCGGAGTCCGTTTGCTAGTTTAAAACAGCAGAATTACCAAGTCCCTTCTGTTGCCAGGCTGGAATTCTACCAAGTCTATCCCATTGTATTGAATTAAGTATGCTCAGGCAAATATTTTCTGGTTCCACGGACTATTGAATATTTCAGTTAGATGAACTTCCAAAAAAAGTTCTTCTAGAATGTTAAAATATTTTAATATTTTAAATATAGTGCCAAACCCACAAAATCCTCTAGCTTTCCATGGGAACAGAAGTATAAAGAGCATTTCTCATCAGGGCATAGGTGGATTAGAAACATATTAGTGAGGCATTTTCATAGTAATTTTTAGGTAACTTGTACCTGTTTCCCTTCTCTTCACATACTTCCATTTGAAAAAAACACCTCATTTCCTTAGGTGGAAAAGTAGTGTCTGTCTTCAATTGTTTAATAGACTAAAAACCATGTGAATGGGTTAAACTTAAGGTAGCTCTCATATGGTATAATGCGTCTACCCAATAATAGTGCCCATGCTGTGTATGTAATAATTGCTTGCTACAGCACATTAGAGATTATTCATAAAAAGTGCCTGTTTTTTGACATGTGAAAGGAAACCAACAGCTTCCACTGTTTACATTTTGTCGGCTTGATCAATAGTTGCAGAGGTGCTGGCCCTCGCCCAAACCTACCATGTCAACAGCATTGACCAGGAAAGGCTCAAGTCCCAGAACGTGCCTTGGAGCGAGGCCAATTTTTGTTTAACTTCGGCAAAGGTTGAACTAACCGTTCTTACTAAAGCTGAACAACAATCTCTTGGGGGGCTTCGTATTTTGTGCAAAGTCCTACTCTGTGCTTCTAGGTCATTATTTGCTTTTCTTCTGGTTATGCGGGACTACTTGCTGCTTTCCAGTCATTGCAACTCCTTTAAGATGGCTTACTTCAGTTTCTGCATTTTCAATATTTTGAATTTCCTTTTATAACAGGAGGAGGAGTAGTTTCCTACATACTCTTTTTATTCTGCTTTCCATTTAATCAGCATGTAAATCCAGCTGCTCTGCTGAATCTCAGAGGGGCAGGCTATTCCCATTTTCTGATCTATGCTCCCTCACTTATTGAGGCCAGCTGCTGCTTCTCTTGCTTTTGTCATAAACTATAATTATGAAAATGTGACCCAATAGTATTATGGCTTCATGAATAAACAGAACCTAAAAAGCGTGCTAAACTGTGGCAGTAAAAGTAGTTTGTTGTCAGAATTGAGAGCTCCCTCCCTCTGTAATTTCATTGGCACATTAGTGATGAGCAGATACTTGAATTAAGATTGTCATGTGTAAAATATCTGCTGAAGGATATCGTCAGACATTCATTTTTTCCCTAAAAATAGAAATAAGTAGGAATTATTTTTTTTACTCTTGTACTAGGGTAACATTTGGAAAAAGAACTCCAGTGAGGAAGCAATTCACATAATTTAAAAAATATATGAAATACAGGAATACTGAATTTTTAATGAAAAAAGGAGAGAAGCATAAGACTTGTATTTTGAACAAACCTTTCTGTGGAAATACAGCTATTTTATATTTTCTTTTCCTTATGTGCTAACAGGGGTGTCACAAATAGTTCAGTTTGTGTCAGCAAAGTTTTGAGCCTTCTATGGGTTTAATGCAGAGATGGCTTAAAGGAACGGCATTCTGCAGTGGAGCTGCTGTTGCTTATTCTGAGGTTGTTCATTAGTCTTTAATAAAAACCTACCTTACAGAGTTCAGGCTTTTTGTTTTTGTTTTTTTGAAACTAAGGATCAATTAAAAGTAACTTCTCATGATATTTATGTGAATTAGGAGGCATATTTATCATCTTACCTTATTACCTGTTAATCTGTGTAGTGTTTTCTTGAATCTAATATGAGCCAAGTATTGGAAGTTAAATCAATGAATTTCTTAATCATTTAGTATGAAAAGTATTGGGATGCTGAAATCACCATGTAAAACTCATTCATGGAGTCATGTTTGTGATATTTGCTAGAAGAAAAAATTAATATTCAACAGCAACCATTAAACACTAAGGTTCATTCTTTCCCATAGGAGGACAGAAAGATATTTCCATTTCAGTTTTGCTAACAGAGATGTGCAGAGCTAAAGGTAGTCCATTTAAAAAAATGGACGTGAAGTGATGCAAGCCCCCTCACCCCCCCCCGCTCTTATCCAAATGGCCTTTCCTCAGTTTTAAGTCATTTAAAATGCTGAGGTGAAAGAGTGAAAAGAGATGAATTTGTGCGCGAGTTGAAATCTTGGCAGAAGTTGAGAAAGATCAAATTGTGAAGGTAAATACCAAAATTATATTGAATTTCAGCAGTACTTATGCAACTAATTCCCTTAGGCTCCTTAGAAAACCTCAGTAGTCTACTTGCACCTCTTTCTTTGGTATTGGTCCCCCCCCAGCCAGGTGTTTACTTAGTGTACAAATGCAAATTAATACTTCTGGACAGGTTGTAGCCATGAAAGCATTTGCTGAGGATGACAAGGAGGTGCATCTTTGGCATTCTCTATGTGAGAGAAAACTTGCAGCCCTGTCAGGGGTAAGTAGTCCGCACCTCCCCTGCCTGGCTCCGGATCCTCAGCTGGCGTGCTTAGTCTCGGCATGCCCTCTTATCTCTGCCTAAAATATTAGTAAGCCAAAGATTTTTTTTTTCCCCCCCACACTTTAGTGTTTCATATAATTTTTTTAGCAGATCAAAGTCTATTTGCGTTAGAAGCTCTTTACTTGGTTTATTGTGAATATGGCTGTTTACTTTACAAGATATTGCAGTAAAGTTTTCAAATGTGGCAACAGAGTGGGCATGTACAGTATGTACTTGGACTTAACAGCATGTGCAGTCGCAGAGAATATGTGGGAGGTAAATACAGCTGTGTGCATTTTGATAAGGCACTGAAACAAAATCTTGAGTACACCAAAGTATTTGTGTTATCAGGTTAGAGATTCAAAGAAAAAAATGCAAAAACCCCACTTTTTTGTGTCGTTGGTAATGTGTGGTGCTGTGTGTCCAAAAATACTGTGTTAATACAGTCCTGGTCACCTACAGATTTTTTTTTTTGTTTATCTCATTTTTAAATAGTACAAAAACTTCATAGCAAAAAGGTAAATGAAGTCTATTTGGCTTCAGATTCCATTGCATACTAGTGTGATGATAATTTGAAACTAAGTACATGAAATACAAGAAGGTTTGAAGATAAAGCTACACATTTGTATCTGGATACACCTCACAATATAAACATGCAGGGACAAGAAGAGCGCAAGCTTGAGTTGCAATAAAGAACCTTAACTTTTGAATTTCCAAGTCAGCATTATATAGTATAAAGTGTTTTTGAAATGTTATAGAAGTTTATAAAGTTTTGGTTGACCTGATTGCCACGCAACTGTTGGCAAGCACAGGAGCGAGCCGTTTATTGCCATGGTTGAGCATTAACTGGCGGAGCCAATAGGCGAAGCGAGCACTGTTTGCAAAACAACAAGCAGCTCAGCCCCAGGCTGCCGGGACATAGTACAGGTAGCTATAGAAGACGGTAGTGTGTTTTGTAGCGCAACACGGTGCAGACTGAGATTAGTGTATAAAAAGCATAAATTTACAGTCATCAATAATGCCAATTTTTACTTATGTTTCAGAACACGGGAACCTGAAACACGAGGTAAGGATTCCTTTCCCTTCTTTCCCTTTTCATGTGGCGTTTGCTTTGCTGGTGACATAAGAGTTCCTTATTTACTTTGTGCACATGCCGTTGGAGCAGATATGTTTTTCTTCTGCATTTAACAATATATTTCTTTAGCATGGTGCAAAATAGC